GGGTGTGTGTGTGGTGGGAGGGGGGGGAGTCATAACAGGTATTTATTAGGGTTGTGAGTTGTTGGGTTTGGTCCATTTATAGTATAGAGTTCAATACTTCACGGTTTCTGGAGAATTCCGAAAGAGTTTCCAATACAGGGTTTGTATTGATTGTAGTTCAGCGCGGCAATTGAAATTTGGAGCTTACACGTAACTCTATGAGTATTTATGTGGCAACCACAATGTGCAGTAATGATTTTAAGATATTGTCCCATAAAGCTTCATGCAAGGGTAGACTGTGCACACGAAGGATCTGCCAAAACATATACGACTATACACACACAATATATATATATATATATATGTATATATATACATAAAAAGATACATATACATAATTTCACATGTATAATATACAAACCTCTAATAGAAAAGTGCCTTAGAACAAAGCAAACCGTAGTAGCAGTGTGCACACATACCTATCACTGCAAGATCATCGTCACTGTTAGAAATAATTTCATTAATCTGCTCGTCAAAATCGGGTTCTGTGCCATCAGAAAGAATTGGATTGTCCTTTTCGGGACTTAAAACCCAGTTCACATCGCCTGCGTCTCCCAATTGCTCCTGGACATAGTCGTTGTCGGATATGTTCTCCAGTGTATCGTCCTCTTTATATATAATAATATTATACATAATAATAATAATAAATCAAGTGGACCAAGAGTGAAATACGGGGTTCGACATCGCACTATTTCTGGTTATCCAGTAGTCCTTAGACCACCTTGGGTGCACCTAGAACTAAAAGGGGCTGGACTACACGGGCCATAGGATACACCACGAACGCCGTCCATCCAATCAGACCGAGGGAAAACAAAGAAGGTGAGGATCAACCAGACACAGACCCAAAACCATTAGAAGGAAGGTGCAGGTCAACCAGACACAGTCCCAACCCCATTAGTAGGAAGGTGCAGGTCAACCAGACACAGTCCCAAATCCATTAGAAGGAAGGTGCAGGTCAACCAGACACAGTCCCAAAACCATTAGAAGGAAGGTGCAGGTCAACCAGACACAATCCCAAAACCATTGGAAGGGCTCTATACACAGTCACATATGCACCGGTGGCTACCTGGCAGATACAGAGCCAGATTGATGGACGCATAGGGTAACACACAGCACGTGAACTGCACTCGGACGATCACTCCTTGACGAGCACTCAGCAAAACCCTCCGAGCTAAAAAAAACCCCCCTAGTTTATACCGGAAGGAATACTTCACCGGACGATTTGGTAATTGACTACAGCGATCGTACGCGTCACTTGAATCCACTGGCGTGTCTTGCATTGCAACGAGAACAACAACGGCTGAACTTGAATAAAAAACCTGGTTTACACTCTAAAAACACTCCTAACCGAACAATTCCGCAGTCAGGACAATCGTGATATTATTCGTCTCTGCACCGTCGCTCGGGTCTGTCGGTGCATTCCCATCGCAGCGAGAACAACTACAACTACACCCCTCCTTCCCGCTCATACACGAACAAGAAAAAACCCTGGTATACACTACAAAAACCCCCTTACCGGACAATTCCGCAGCCAAGATAATCGTGATATCATCCGTCTCGCCACCGTCATTCGGGTCGACCGGCGCATGTGTATCTGCATTCGGGGCTGCATTGGTATCGGCTGGTAACTCATCTGTATCCCCCACAGGCGTCTCGGTGTCATTTACAGCTACTTCTGCTACGGTGGGCGTGTCCAGGGTGTTGTCGGGATTGTCCGCGGGAGTGTCGGTGTCATCTGAGTCATGCTCCCCACTATTGGGAAACTCGCCCCTGCGGATGGGGTAGGTATGATGGCACGCGACGAAATAGTAGATTCAATGTGAGTGAGGGTAGGTAGCAATGCGTTGACCTGCTATGTGAGAGATGTGAATGTACTAGTACGGGTGATGGGGGCGGAGGTTCTACGCGTACAATGGGCAACAACATACACGTGTACACAAACATTGTTGTACATGGTTATAGAACTAAATCCGGCTGACTCAATTCGCCTCCGAAGCAGAGGTAACAACTAATACCAACAAAAAAATACCGAAAACGCATGAACTGACAGAGGTGAAGCGAAAAGGGGGCAAACATTACGCCTCTCCTTCCTACGAATAGGTATTCACCGGTTGATGTTCGTCACTTGTTCGCTCGAAACCCCATTAACCCTACACCAAACTTTATACACACCCAGAACATTCAATTCGGATGGAGCATCCAATTCTCGCGGTAATATTTATATATATATATATATATATATATATTCAATAAACAAAGATGCAAATGCGCTTATATCATTTTGTACTGTAACATGCCGTATATGAATCCAACCGGCATTACTTGGTGGACCTTGGTACATACTCTGTCGCGCCCAGAACATCAAGGTACGGGACGTCGAGAGCCTCCTTGACATCCTCAGCCCACTCGTCCAAATCAATCTCGTCTATTGGTTTGTTGACACCTACAAGTAACTTCCACTTACACGGAGACGCGTCCGTGCTGAAGGTATTGTGTGCGAGCAGGAGGAAGAAGCGAGGATGAGGAAGACGCATGCGTACGTACATATATA